TCTTTTGCATAGGTTTTGCTAAGGTTTGAAAAAAGGCCATAGTTTAGAGTTAGAATTTTAAGTTGCCTAATTCACCCCCCTCTTAGGCGTCACGGTCCCCTTCACAATCAACAAATACACTAGGGGAGTAACTTCATGGCATGCTTTCGCCGCTGGCGGCGACGTTCTCATGATGAGGCGCGTGGCGCTTCGACCTCATGGCGGGGGCGGTGGACACGGGCGGCGAAAGTCGCGGGCGCTGGTGATGAGGCGGCGGCGGCAAGCGTAGGGAGTCCGTGGAGGGGCGGCACCGCCTTGCGTGGCCGGGCGGCGCGCACCGGCGATGCATGGTGGGGCGGCGGTGGGCGCGCGGCGACGGCGGCGCGCGGCTTGGCGCGGCGGGCGGTTTGGCGCGGCCGACGGTATGGCGTGGCGTGGCGGCGTGTGCGCGCAAAAGGGCGGCGCGTCTATGTGGCGAGCATGTGTAATGGGCGCAGTGGGTGGCGGTGGCGTGGCGCGGCGGGACTGGGCCGTGGGCCTATATTAGGCTCTGCCGCCCCTTGACGGTGGCGCGCCACTGCCGCGCCATGATGCGTGGTGCGTCACCGCCGCACCCTGATCGGTGGCGCGGCAGAGCTGGCCACGTCACCGGTCAAGGCCCTGGTCGTTGCCACGTACGTAGCCTCGCCGCGGCCTCATGCATGGCGCGGCAGTGTTAAATCGCCGCGTCGTGCGGATAGGCGCGGCCAAAAGTATTAGATTTGAAAAAAAAAATAAACAGTGTTAGTTTTAAAATTAGTTTAAAAAATACGTTAAAAAAAAAAAAACGTAGAAGTTTTAAAATTAGTTTGCCATCTGAAGTGTTTTGATTAATAATTGTTGTAAGTATTTCCTGTACCCCATCTTGTTCCTGTGGTAGTAAAGAGGTTTGCAGGGGGGTTGGCAGAGAACCACACCGCTCTTGCAAAGGTGCAATGAGAAAACAGGTGGGAATCATTTTCATTAGAGTTGCATATTGCGCATTGTTTATTTATCTTGGTCGAAAGATTTCCTGCTCTTTCTCCAGCGGCTAAGGCTCTTCTAATAAGTTCCAGACAAAAGTTTCTATACAAGGTGACAGGAACTTGTGTTTCCAGGCTCTTTTAAGTATATTCATAGCTTGTTCGCATACACTCCTTGTTTCTTGCTGCGGTAGTTGCCCCTGGATTTTAGAAATAAGTAGTCTAAATGCTTCTTTGGTGGTGCACGTACCTTACTTTGCCGGTTTCCTCCTGACAACATCCGGGCTATCTTAAGGAACAACCGGCATGTCTGAGCAATGGATAAGACAACTTGATCATAAAAAATATGAGATATAAGATCCATGTTCCAAGAACGGGTTTGAGGGTTCCATAGGTCTGCTACATGTTGAGGTAGTCTCTCTAAGGTAATCGGCAGATTGACGTGATTATGAATGGATTTCCAAATAGGGCACCAAGGTGTGGACCAAATACTGGAGTCACCTTTATGAATCTAGACAGTGAAGTGAGTGTAGAGAACTTCTTTCATTTGAATAATCGAAGACCAAAATATCAATTTGGTGTTATCGTTGTTTCATAGCCAAAAACTGGTATTAGGGTAGTATTTAGCTTTTAGGATTGATGAAAGGAAATGGTTTTTACAGGTGGCTATATTCCAAGCTGCATAAAGGATTAGGCTGCGATTGACATTAAAGAGATCTCTTATTCCCAGCCCTCCATAGTCCTTGGATCTACAAATATCCTCCCAAGAATGAAAGTGGAAAGGAGAGGTGGAATTTTCTTCTTGAATACCGACCCACCAAAATTTCCTGATGATAGAAGTGATTTTGGCAATGAAGGTTTTAGAAAAAAGCACAGTGGACATGTAGTAAATGGGGACAGAAGCAAGGACTGAGTTGATGTATGTTAACCGTGCTGCATGATTGAGTTTATTAGCTTTGATGGCCGTAAGCTTGGCTTTGAACTTGTTGATGATAAAGTCATAAGCCTTAGATCTATCACTATGTTTGAAGATAAGTGGGTGACCAAGATGAGTAGCGTTGGGCGCTAGGTCTGAAACAGGAAAAATATTTTTTGACTGCTTGTTTACTCTGGTGATCAACATTCTTGCTAAAAAGGATAGAGGATTTTGCTAAGTTGGGGGTTTGCCCAGAGGCAGCACAGAAGGCTTGGAGCACAGATTTGATGTTTGCAGCCTCGGTATAAGTGGCTTGACCACAGAGAATCAAATCATTAGCAAAAAGGAAGGAATGAATATGAGGGCTGTTGGGGCCAAGCGTGACACCATGGATGTTATTTATTTCCATATTGGTTTGCAAATTAGTGGATAGTTCATTAACCGCTAAAACAAATAAACAAGGAGAATAGGGCATCCCTATCTGACACCTCTTTGGGGATGAAAAGAAGTGGTGGGTTCACCATTTACCATAACCGAGAGGGTGGTTGTGGAGATGCATTGGTGGACTAGAGTAATTAAATGATTTTGGAAGCCATGTCTTTTCATGGCTTTTGAGAAGAGCAAACCGAACCAAACATTAGTGCGTACATAGGCCAAACTTGGGGTAGTAACTTAGACTTTTTCCTTTTTTTTCAAAAATCTTGTTCAAAATTAGAGAAATTTGAAAGACAAAACATATATTGGGAATATATTTAAGAAAACACATAAAATTGAAGAATTACACATTTAGTGTCACCCGTTAAAAAGACTTAAGTTTCTTTCGGCCATGTAAGAAAACGTAATACATTTAGTGTTATGGTATACTTATACCTAGATAAATGTTCTTCTTTTAATTGTGTGCCAAGGACATATAATTGTCTTAAAAATTGTATAGATGAAATTTAACTCAAGTACTCCCTCCATCCCTAAATTGTAAGACATTTGACTTTTTTTGCCCCAAGTTTGACCACTCGTCTTATTCAAAAAAATTGTACAAATATAGTCAAATTTAAGTCATTCTTGAAGAATTTTTATTAATAAACCAAACCACGATGAAAGAAGTGATATTTTACATAAATTTTTGAATAAGACGAGTGGTCAAACTTGGTGTCAAAAAAGTTAAACGTCTTATAATTTGGGATGGATTGAGTACGTGGCAAAATATAGTTTTGAGATGCCAAGTGGGAATACAGTTTTGCACTACATAATTTTGAGATACCCCACAGATGGCAGTTCGTTTAGACTTATGTATCTCAAAATTTTGAGATACAAGTGGGTGCCAAGTCTAAACGAACTACTAGGACACAGATCTAGATACAATTTTCACAAGTCTACCATCATGAGCCATGCACCCGCTAAAAATGTCCGGACCGAAACGAGCCAACTAATGCCTTGCATGGGTTTGGATCATTGTTTTTTACCCGCAACAATTGCTAGGCCAGATGAGGCCGTCAAGTTTTGACCCAAAATCTAAAATACTTCGACCCAAGGTGCAAGGTGTAGGTAAAAAAATTAAATAAAAATTTTGACCTAACATGGTAGGCATTGGCAAAAATTGAATAATTTTTTGACACAACATGGTAGGTATGTGCAAAAAAAAATAACTGAACATTAGGTTCAGATTGGATTCAAGCCAAATTAAAGATCGTTTTTTGGGTCCACCGACACTTGTGTATCTACTATCAAAGTCTAAAACCCCTAAAATGGAGATTTTTTTTTTGTGTGTGTTTTCTATGTTTTTCTTGTGAGAATAAACTGTTTGATACGAAATTGTTGTATTAGTGGTCCGTACCCTATCCTGCGGTAGAGGTAGACAAAATTTCATCGAAATCAATCAACCGATAACCAAAATATTTGTGATCTATTTGGTGAAGACTTTGATGCTATTTGATTAATCGAAATTTATTCGGTTTTGAGCTAGCATTAACATTTTTAACCAAAATTCTTTGTGACTATATTATACTTCATTTGCACACTTAAACATATTTGTGTGAGACTTTATTTATTAGAATCATTCTTTTGTTGCTTTTAAGTTTGTTTTATCATGATGCATTTCTTGTAGGGGCTTTCAATACGTTGTATTATCTTCTTAGAAGTATAATAATATATATATTGTGGTTAACCAATTAATCAAAATTAATTTTGGTTTGTAATTACTAGTTTTTTAGCAACGATTTCAGTTAACATTTCATTTAAACATGTTTTTTGAAAATTAATTAATTTAACCGAACCAATTTCACTGAATTATTTGAATAATATATGTGTAATAATAGGCGTGCAGGTTGCGGGCACTCTCTTGGTTCTCTCCCGTGCCCCTCGCTCTCGCGTACTCTTCGCACGGGAGAAGCCTGGCGTGCGCGCCTCCGTCGTCCGTCAGATGCCCAGGCGACAGGCGGAAGATCCAACGGCAACGCTCCCCAAACCTTATCTGGTCTCCAGTGTCCGAGACTCCGAGGTCAGCCGCTCTCTCCTCCTCGTCCTCCGATTCGTGCGCTCGAGCTCCGGTGACTAGGAACAGTGGCAAGGTGGGTCCTTTTCCTCTCAGGTTGTGGCATGGCCGGGTTTAGGGTTTGGAGGCTGGGTCCGCCCCTGATCTGGTGCTGCCTGGCCTTGGTGCTCCAGCTTTCCACCGGCAAGAAGAGATGCAATTGCTTCTGCTACGGATTGCTTGCCACCAAGACACATTGTGCCCACTGCCTTCCCTGCTTCTGTGAATGAGCCCTCAATATACCTCGACGCAAGAAATCGGATTGGATTTAGCCAGATTTATCTGCCTACTTGCGCATTTGCTGTTGATTGAAATGTTCTTGCTTCAGCTTTAGGTTATAGGACATACGAATAGGAAGCTACAGCTTTGTGATGAGAAATACACAGCAAGAGTTTTGTGTGAAATTGTTTGTTTCTGCTGATCACGCAGTCTTCTCATTTCTCTATAAATTCACTAATGACTCAAAGTTCACCAGAAATTCTGATGCTTGTTTTCTTATGCAGGAAACGATGCTTCTTTCTCCCTTTACACCTCTGTGATGCACTGAACACTAGTCAGGAGCTCTAGTAATCCTCTAATGGCCGAGTGTTCCTTGGCAACACTGAGAGGCCAGCATCAAGGGAGATGGACCTGGTCCAGCAGCAAGCTCTCCCTAAGGAATATGTCAATCATGGATCCAAAGAGGTTGGTATTTTTCTTTTTTCATCCTTACATTGAGATAATCTTGAGTTGCTGGGTTGCAATCCATCTTTGCATTTTCTTTGTTTGCAGGAACTACGCCCTCAAGATTCACCTTCCATGCCAATCCAGAGCAGCAAGAGAATGGACAAGTGTATTAACTCCTTTTGGTTTTCGTGGAAGGGATCACAGGGTGGAAACTTCAGTTAAATGTTATTGTTTGCAGCCGCTCGTGGATTCGGAGAGCATGGTCTCACCAAATCTAATATTGTTTTCGGATGAAGCTCTTCTCACTATCAGCATGGTTTTTGCATATTTGGCCGGAGTTGTACCCTCTGGGCAGACATCTCCTCATGTCAGAAATCAGAATGTTTTTCAACACATTCCAGAGCCAAGCTCCTCTCATTCTGGTAGGTAAGACTAGCTCCATAATTATTACTTCTAGATATCAGATTGGTGGCATAGCAGAAAAAATGGCTGCTAACGACTCCTTTTCACAAATTTAGGGATCTAAAGTTCTTGCCTGAAAGGAATGCTGCGTTTGACCCCAGCGATATGTGGAGTGAAGTGAGAGCTAAACTTTCCAGAGCCTTACAAGCACATGTTCAAGATGCTAGTTTGGATAGCAGAGAGGATGAACTCACGAGTGATAGGAAAAACTATCCTTTGAGTATGCTTGCCATTCTTGCTGGTCCCAGATTGCGGCTTCTTCTGATCACATTCCAGCTTCTGGAAATGGAGGCAAGGGGCACACCATAACTCGTTGTTTGACTAGGATTGGCTATGTATACTCACTTAGTTTATTACAAGTTAGTATCTGATCTGTTTTCAACTAAAAGAGGGTTTTAGCACTCTCCCCTTTCTGAATTTTATTGGCTCATGTCATATAATATTTTCTGTCTATTTGTCTAAGTTTATTAAGATTGTGCGCTAGAATTCTATACTAAAGTGTAACCAGTATCAGACTTTTTTTTGGGTAACATTTGACACCATTCTTATAGACTTTTGAACAAGTTATAATTGAATATGTGGCTGTTTTAAGTTGATCTGATATCATTCAGGTAAGAAATATCTTTGGAAGTTCTGAACTTGTTGATGGAATCAGGTGGTTGCAAGTATCGACTACCTTGATAGATGGTTTGATTCAACCAGCATTTGTGAAATGGATTGAAGAAGAACAGGCCTTGGAAAATGGACAAATCAACGAAGTATGTTCCTGACTTACTCTTTTGAACTGTTGCCCGTCCTCCCTTTTGGACATGGCTCAAATCACTGATATCCTTTTATGTTCCAGAAACTTATGAAGGCGATAAGCAGTAAACTAAAGGAGTGTTAGACATAATCTGCTGCTCCCCATTCTCTCCTTGGTTGGAAACTAGTCAGCTCGGCCGACCACTCCCTGTTGGGAGTTGGGAACTGATCGGCTCTGCCGACCAGTTCCTATAGCTGTAGCAGTATTGCAATAGGCCACCTCTAGTACATTAGTTGGTAGTTATTACATCAGCCATGTCCTGGTAGTGGGCTGTGGTAAGCTTTGTACTGTTAGGAGTAGTTGGTATACTCTGTACTTTAGGAGTAGGTTGTTGGTGTACCCTGTACCTTAGGAGTAGGTAGTTGGCGTACTCTTGTACTCAGGAGTAGGTAGTTGGCCAACAACTATGTACCTGATAGAGGTCCAGCTAGAGTTGTATATATTCCATCCAAAGGGCAGGGCTTCGGCCAACGCTGGTGCTGAGTGTGTGTGCGCGCTGTTCTCAATCTCTTCTTCTACATCTAGCCATAGTGAGTGAGTGTGTGTGCTGGTAAGCTAGTTGCTTACCTGTGCAGAGCAGCCAGGGATCAACAAGGAGGACAATAAGATCTTGAGGAGGTTTAACAGATTCGGGAAATCTGAACTCTATTTGGATATGCTTTTTTTCCTAAGATTTGGTTCTGCAAGGTACTAAATGGCCTTCTTGATCTTTGTAGCAGATTTTTTATTCAGTTTCTTTTGAGTGAAAACTGCATCCTATTCAAGAACTGTACATATTTTGGTTGCTTATTGTGTAGACTTATTTAAAAATATTATACTCTTCTGTTTACTGATACTGGCAATTGTCTACTGTTTTGGTTCTTTTTTTCCTTTTGCTGAACAATTGCCTTTTCTGAGGTACATAAAGACATCCTTATCCTGAGTCCTGACACTTCCTGATGGCAGGTCTGACAGCTATTTTGATGTCAAATTTCTTGCTGAACATGGAGAAAGAATTTTAGAGGACCTTGTTATTTCCTTAGCTGATGTGATTGCTAGTATTTATCTGGAGCTTATGTCAGTTGATGGTGATATGTCTACTGAAGTTGTTAGTTCCAGCTTAGTTCTATGTTCACTGTCAACCAGAGAACTTCAAAAGCTGCGCAATGAGGTAACTATTGTATTTTTCCAGTTCTTCGGCATATTGTTTTTTCCCTTAATTAAATGTGCCAGGGATTAAATCCCCTGGGATCAATGAGAAAATCTTCTAGGTTTACTTGTATTTTTAGATTCTAATTTAATTATTTAAACCAAACCTCCTGGTCCGAAAATAGCATATTCAACTGTATCATAGGTTGATGAAATACTGAGTTGTAAACTGTGGTGTGCTCCCATATATACTTTCTCATTATATTTCAACCTGAAAGTTTTGTTAGCTATAACCACCATGGAAATATATTTAAGTGGGCATGAATGAAAGGATATAGATAAGCATCTGCTCTTTGAATTCTCTTCATATTGTGATGTTTCTAGGTGCACAATGCATACACATTAAATTGGATTGCCTGAGGATATAGTTATATTTAAATGTTCGTGCATATTAGGTTTTCCTGATTCCGTGCTGATCCCTCTTATCTTTTGGAAGGTGGCAATTAATTGGTGGTTGCACCAATACTTCAAGTAAGTTGTTTCAATGTATGAAGACAGGTTCGAGTTATATGTTCTATGCAGCAAAAAATGTGAAAAAACAGACAATAATCAAGCGGAGAGGGCAAATTGGTGGAGGATTGCATTTGGCAAGCCTAATGTGCTCACTCTTGATTATGTTAACATCAGTCCATTTTCCCTTCCAGCAAGAAGGACGAAGGAATTAAGAGCTTTGATTGGATGGTATGCCTGAGCCCCTTCCAATCCATGCCATTTATTTCCTGAAACAATTGTTGACATTTTGCACGTGTTGCCTGGTTTTATAGATGGCTAATTTTCAAGTACCTTTTTAGCATGTTTTGGATGGCCCAAATGAAGGAACTGGGAAACATTAACCTTGACTGTTGAAATCAAAAAACACTTTCCCCTTTCCTTTTCTTTTTTTAAAGAAAAATGAGTTAGAGTAATGCCCCAGATCAGTGTTGTGTTAGGGAGTGTTTGGTTCCACGGACTAAATTTTAGTCCCTGTCACATCGAATGTTTGACACTAATTTGGAGTATTAAATATAGACTAATTACAAAACTAACTGCACAGATTGAGACTAATTCGCGAGACGAATCTATTAAGCCTAATTAGCCCATGATTTGACAACGTGGTGCTACAGTAAATATGTGCTAATGATGGATTAATTAGGCTTAATAGATTCATCTCGTAAATTAGTCTCCGTCTGTGTAATTAGTTTTATAATTAACTCATGTTTAGTCCTCCTAATTAGCATCTGAACGTCCGATGTGACAGGGACTAAACTTTAGTCTCTGGAACCAAACACCCCCTTACTTTAAAAGGTATTGTTTTTTTTCCTCAAAAACGCAAGAGAGTTGCGCTTCATTATATTAAGAAGAAAGAGGGGGTAAAGAACCCTAGTACAACACACCCACACAACCTTAACTCGTAAGATACATTCGGGCTGGTAAAGAAAGAAAAGCGACCCTGCACCTACAACAAATCAACTAACAGCTTGGCCCATGAGCCCCAGCCATTGTCCACTGCCGACGCTCATCGCTGGCCAACTTCAAGGTTTCAGCTATGTTAGGATTTGCTCCATCGAAAATGCAGCTGTTGCGATGATTCCAAATTATCCACGCTCCCAGAACTATTAGGGAGTTCAGACCTTTTTGTGTTAAACCAATAGTTGCTGCACTTGCTTTTTCCCACAAATCATCAAAAGAAGTGTCGGTTGTGGAGCTAGAGAGTGGAGACTGACCTGCCTCAAGATATAGTACCAGAATTGCCTTGATAATACACATGCAATTAGGAGATGATCAATGCTTTCGTTGGCTTGATCACAAAGTGGACATTTCTCAGGATGAGGCAGTCCACGTTGTGCAAGACGATCTGAGGTCGAGCAGCGCTTGTGCGCTACAAGCCATAGGAAGAAGCGGCATTTAGCTGGCGTCCAAGTTTTCCCCGGTACCTGTATAGGCAATGCAGACCGAGGACGGTGTGGCTCCGTTTTCTGTAACCAGAGCCATCTAACGCCCAGCCAAGGTTTCTGAGATTGGAAATGCCCAAACCACCCAGTGTGACTAAATTTGCAGATAACTTCACAGTGAGATGACTGGATTAATTTTGCCATTTGTATCATACCTGAATTAAGAAAAATAACATTGTACTGTTTAACTGCAGGAGGTATTACTTCAGCTTATTCTTAGAGTTGTCAGATATCTCCATGCCCTTCATAGGGGCTGCTATCAGCAAAGTGAGCGCTGCGGTATCCTACTTCTGGGTGTCCATGATTGGAAGGTCTCTTGGTCTGATTTTCTCAGGGATTAGACAATCACTAGGCTGGAAATGAGCTTATACCTGATGAGTTTTGAGTCTGACTATTCGTTTTCCCTCCACTCTGCTAGGACTGGATGGACATTTGTTAACTCCGGTAATCTCTACTCGGTTCTGTGACTGTTAGGCTATGCATTGGAAATCTTTGAGAAGGCTGTCATTATTCTCTTTTGTTTTCTTTTTCATCTTTGTTGTGTAAGGAAGTCCATTGATCTGCGAATTGCTGAAATCCATCCACATCAGTGCAACCTTTCTCAAAACAGGTGGTAAAGGCATTTTTGTTTTTTTTTTCGTTCAAGAGGGAAGGAGCGTCATATTTTTCTAGAGACAGAATGGTAAGGATAACATACATTACCAGCATGCATCATGCTTTTGTACAGGGTTTCATTTCTGTTCACCCATACGATCTTTCATTTCTCTTCACCCATACGATCTTGACCCAAATCATGTAGTGTCAAGAAATGGAAAACTTATCCAAAAACGAAACAAAATAGAACTGAGGAAACATCCCTTTCATCTGACACTAGCACAGAAAACTGAACCGGAGGTTCAATGTTCTTCCATTATGTAACTAAAGTATATATTACTTCTCCATCCTTTTCCTTTGCAACACAGACGATGAATGAAAGAATATAATGAATATGAACCTACAATACATCACTACTTACAAAATCAACTAAGATTAGTTTGCATTTGGTTGGTGTGTGTCATAAGGCTCCTGCAAGGAAAAGAGAAGATTGTTAGAAGGTTCATCACAATTGTCAATAGATCATCTGCAACGAGCTGCATGCTGCACGTGTTCTAATTTATGCAAAACGCAAAGTACTCCCTCCATTCCAACATGTTCAAATTTACGCAAAAAGCCTAGTACTTCCTTCCAAATTGTAAGTCATTCTGACTTTTTGAGGTAAATAACTTTTGTTATGTATCTTGATATCCATTATGTCTAGATATAAAGTAAAATATGTATCTAAAAAAGCCAGCACGACTTATAATTTGGAATGGAGTACTTCCTAAATAAATTTGCGCAAAAAAGCATAGTACTTCTGAAATACTATCTCAACTCATTTTTAGCATGCATATTAAGATTTGAAAAAAACCTTTATATGGCTTTTATGATCAATGGCTACAAAAATCAACATCATATTAAAAGATATTTGAAATATGAATCTATCCATATAACTAATACACTAGGCAAGCACATAACTAGTTGGTCAAAATTTATGAGTTTGACTTTTTAAAATCCTAATACACCTATTAAAAACGAAGTGAGGCAGTATTTGAATAGTACGCCATTTTTTCTAGAAACAAAACCAGCATCACTTCAAATTGCACTTAATATTCCAATTTGTTTGTTAAAATTGTTTGATTTTTTTAGAGAAAGAACAGATCAGTCACTTTCAAAGAATAAAGTTTCACACTACTTTTGTTTTTAAAAAGCAGCACCGCTTCCAGAACACACCAAGCTCAAAACAACCGAAAATCGCCCATGCCGTACAATGATGGATAACCAATATCACACATAAATTCCCAGGAAGAACTTCTGCGTGGTCTAAATTGCAAAACAATTGGAACTGAAGTCTAATTTAATCAAGCAAGACAGTTAGAAACAAAAGGTGATGAGAATACATCATCTTTCCATAATTACTTACCATTCATCCTTGTGCGACTTGTAGTTGTTTTTGTTCCTTGCTGCTGGGACAAATCAGTCAGTGACAGAGGAGTAAGCGGCGGGGAAGAAATATCACTGCCGTCCCTGCTATTTCTAGCCTCCAACAATCTCTCCACAGTGATGATTGGTATCCTCTGGCTATTTGAGGGTATGGAATAGCTGCGAATGAGGGTAGCAGGCGGTAGCGGAAGTGGTGAGGGGGTTTGTGATGCCGTCGGCGACACACGGGCTGGTGCTGCAAGGATTTGAGTCTGACGCTTTGATACCAGAGGACCAGAGTAACCGACCAAACCAGAAGGCCTGAGGGACTCCATGTTGGCTGGAGGCCTAGGAAGCTCATGCAGCTCACTGATCTTTGGTGATTTTGCTGGATGTGGGAACATCTTGGGGGAAACTTTTGGGGACACAGATGATGGCTGACGAGAATGGCCCTGCAAATTTCCTGGCATCACAAGATGTTGTGCCATGGGTGATCTGTGATCGTTCAGCGAAGATGGTTTGCTTAACCCTGGCCTGCTTGGTATTGGACCAGACCAAGATTCCCTCTTCATCTTCTTATAATCAGAAACCGACTGGGAGAACGTCGATATCCCCTCCGTACTTGATGGCATTTTCACATGGCCACCCGGCCTAAAGTCTTTCATCAGTGGAGATGAATGCCACGGATTCGCCGAGACACGAGGTTTACTTTCCAACTGCTGTGAATGATGTGATCTGTGAGCACCTACTGATCTGGGATCCTTGTCATCAACTGGCATTGGAAGTTTGTACGAATGTTTGGCTGAAGATGGCTTCATTTGCCAAAATCTCTCAGATGGATCCGGTAAATTGCCTGCCAGAATAGGTGCTAAGTGTGTATTAAACTCTGGCTTGACTCGTGGAGTCATAGCATTTCCCTTGGTTTGTTTGACCTCTTCCTGTAGATAAGAAGGAAGAAACATAATTATATTACAAGAATATGCCAGTGTAGATGAGAATAACTAGTTAAGCATTAAGAAATTCTTGTATTCTATGCACTAAGTGAAATCATACCTGCATGCTTTCTTTTACTGGCTGCGGGGAATTCGTCACATCTCTTTTATCTAACTGTGCATAGAAAGAAAGACAACGCAGATCCTTGGCATTAATTTCTCCACACAGATCAGGAAAAAATAATGCAATGGACCTACTTTTTATTTCTGATGAAGCAGAAAATATTAATGATAAAATAGAAGCTAGATCAATAGGCTGGAGCTCATAAATAAATTATTGATTAAAATCGCATCATCGCGTAGTCTCTCTAGCTCAGTACTGGCCAATGAGGCCATGAATACCAACTCTTTTTGAATCTAGTCTCTGAGGCCATATTAGTTCTGCTAATCAGCTCAGACAGCAAACTGTGAAACTGGAGTCTTGACTCAGTATAGGACACATCAATCGACCTCATATGCTACAAATAAGGCTTATTAATTACAGAATAGCCAAAGGGCGCCTAGCTCAAACGGTTAGGTGACCCAGCGGCACTTCTCAGGTCTTGGGTTCGACTCCCCGTGGGAGCGAATTTCAGGCTGAGGTTAAAACAATCCCCTCGTCCGTCCCCATAACCAAAGCACTGGGGCACCAGCCCAATTCTCACTTGGGCGACGGAAAGCCACCGTGTAAGGGTGGGGGCGGGGGTTCGGGGGTTTTCTCGGCCGGGTGAGAAGGTCCTTCTTCTTATTTGTAATGCTGCGGGGGCAGTCTTAACCCCCCGGTCGAGTTTTTTTTTAATTACAGGATATTTATGCCGTGAGACCAAGTGTGGACAACACTAACCTATGGTCACATCTAGGTGAGAGGCAGCTAGTTGCATAAAGAGGACAGCAAAATATGAATCATAAAACTTACATCCATTGAACCTCTTGAAGCAAGAAAATCTTGATCCTTGTCATTTATTTCATAGTCGAAACTAAGCTCTCCGTCATCGCTGCAATCATCCTGGTCGGAGCTGTAATCATCGTTGTCAGATGCATCATCCTCAAGACCACTAAACTGGTAGTCAATGTGCTGTTTCTCAGCTATTGCTTTTACATGAGGTTCGAGTGCCTCAAGACACTTCAACCCTCTCCTGAAAAAGCTTAACTACAGTCCAAAGAACAGTATGATAGTTAGGTTATGTATTCACCAAATCGTTGGCCAATTGACAGCGTTATGCAGGAAGAATTAGCCTACCTGAGCAGCATGATGTCGAGAAGCCTGTGTTAAAAGGCTATGGAATTGCCCTTGCCTCAATGATTTTAAGCGAAATATGAACAGTGCTGCATCTTCTTGGTACTCAGCGAGAGCGCTTCGCAGTTGTTCTTCTGAGTATGTTTCAGTTTTGGAATTCCTTGACCTTCCCTTTTCTGTATAGGATGCCCTCATAGCTTCGTATGCCTCTCTGTGATGAAAGAAAAAAAATATTGGTAAAACAAAGTATCAATCATAGATGAGAAAAAAAAAGTTGATTTGAGTTGTATTTGAACCTTTTCATGTCGCATTGCTGCTTCATTTCCTGCAATGTTATGAAAGTAAACAAAATGTATAGCATGTCAGGATCTTAAAGGACTAAAAACGAAATAAACTAAGGGCGTATTGGGGGGGATTTGGATTGAACTATTGGATCCTGTATTTTTTTTTTATAAAGCTTGTCTTAAATACAATAGCTATCATAGCAAATCCCTCTTCAATATAGGGGCTGAGTGTGTTATTTCCCCTTAATAATCACGAAATATATCCTCCAAATGGAGTCATGGTCAACAATCTTCTAAAATCCAATCTGAACTTGGTAACAAGCAGCTAATATCTGCATATTGAATCATAATACAAATTCGTACAAATTTAAAGATAGATTTCATAGATCTAACCTCTACAGTCTGTAGCTCCTTGAGAAGAGACTCTGATGGGGTTGTGATAGTATAAATGATATTTGAGCGCTGGAGAACCAGTGTATATAAGCATGTCAGTGTTACATGTTCTAATGCATTAGGAACAACTAAAAAATGTAATAATTGTTTCAAGAATTTTCATGCAAAACTCAACATGTTACATAATACCAAAACTAATAACTTACATAAGTATCGACAAACTTTTGTAATTCAAATTGGACCTTTCCGAGCATCATCAACACTCTACCTGCAGACAAGAGAAAATTATTATACCACAGTTTTTTAGAAAAAATAAATAGCACTACTTTTCATTTTCCCTAGACACAATTTCCTTTTACGATTTCACATTAATAAAATTTACAAACTATAGTTTGGAAAATATGAAACAATGATTTCAAGAATATTTGTTCCCAGATTTTAGAGAGTTTTGACACGGGGATGCCAAAATGTCATTGAAAAAAGGATGGAGGGTGTTGTACACTTGTAAACATTGTAATGCCTATAGAGAGCAGTAACTCCACGGATAAACACCATAGCAATTAGCTTATGGGATCACAACTGAAATTTTTAAGCTCAAAAAACCAAAGTACAGCATGAACATGAAACATAATAAAATTAACTGCATAAATATTTTGATTATTTTGGTCCAAAGATGCCAACGGGTACACCTAGAAATGGCACCATCATCTTACGGTATATTTAAGAGAAAGATCTGGTAGTGTAGTTTTATATGAATACATATCGGGAATACGTAAAAGTTTTAGTCTTATTCAGTAAACCCTGTTCGCTTGATCGTATCAGCCATGCTTATCAGCCATGATACAGTGTTTTTCTCTCACAACAAAACAGCATCAGTCGGCTTATAAGCCGCAGAAACGATCAAGCGAACAGGGTGATACACCATAAATCAGAATATCTGCTTCTAAAAAGATGCCTCTAACAGCTTGGCATATGTTATACACCATAAATTTATATGTGCTTACCACTATCATCATCATCATCATTTAGTGCAGTTTTTGCGAGAAAGCAACCTCCCAGTTCCTCAAGAGCCTCAGAAAACTCTGCATAGGCCAACAAGCACTCGGTTACAAACATGCGACACAACTGAGTAATTGCAAATAATTTAACATCTGAAGTAAGACCGTCAGTACCATATACACTATTTGTTGTAGCTGCTGCAGCTGAAATCAAGCCATCATAGCAGTTTCTCATGTCTTCCACCTCCTGCAGAGAAGTTGAGAACACTACTTCAGAGTCAATAACGCACAACCGACAAAAGGATGATTGTTCACGTCTTGGTCTCCTTTTACATTTTAACTGCGTGCTAGCAACAAACTGCACATGATCCCATTCCTTAAGAGTGATACGTTCAGAATGTAAGATTTGGTAAACATCAGTCTCAATCCTATGAGTGAGCAAAGCACTTGACGCCATGTCAGTTTATCACTAAACAAGTACTTGATGAAATCCTGCATCATGGCAAATGCTGCAGCTGTTGCGCCAACAAGAAATTTCAAGCTTCTTCTCCACTGTTATTATATATTTATGTTCTGGCATGCTTTGTGTTACTGAAATAATAGCCTAACATTTACTGCAAAACTTGTACTATCAGAATATCTGCTTCAGTAACAGGTACGCTTTAATAATTTCTTATATATTGCATCGTTATGGTCAGAAGTCCAAAGAACTTGTTAGCGTCGGATCAACCCAGATGACGCGGCATCCGGAACGAATACGTCGAGTGGCAAAGCAAGCGTTCATACGACGGAAAGACCCTTGTTGATAATATCCAAGTAATATGAACCTATCGTCTCCATCGATAACGTGTCCTCTCCGGTCAAGATCACGTTGGATGGCTGGCATTTTTTTATAGCAACTTTCTCTGATGGACGTTTCCTCGTGAAGACTTTGACCAAAAACAGCAAGAACCAAGCCCCAAAACGCCTAGGTGATCCCGAGCAGACACGCAAAGGGGGTTTTAAGTCTTTTTCATGGATTAGAACCTAACACCTACCTTACCCAAAAGATACTTTGACTTGAGAAAAAAAAAGAACCCTTGCTGAATTAAAGAGAAATATAAATTTAGGCATGATAATGTTCTCCGGAATGATTACCGGTGATCCTGAAACTGTAAATAATTTATTTCTGGTCAAGATAGAAAACAATTATTGTCCCGCGTAGTCTGTCATCCAACGAAGAAGTGTGGTGTGTTTTGTTAGTAGAATCACTTATGCTTCATGAGATGGCATATCATGATTTTATACCATAAATTTGGTGGAATTGACTCATTCCTGGAGCATATACTAAATATTAGTATGTGAGGAATGAGATGTGATGAATCTAACTCATTCAATTTCACAAACCAAACGAAAAAAAAGTAAAGAATAAGTAGACGATGGACCACCTCGTTCTTCAAACTAAACACACCTCGAAGGAATAATGGTGCCAATGGGTCGCGGATGCATGGTCATGACTCATGAGCCGCTAGTGTTGGCGATAATAACCGAAAAATAAAATAAAAGTATTGTTCATTCGCACGGCCAGCATCTGCGAGGACCGAAAAGAAAGTTTGATTGATCTCAATCCGTCCTGTCGCGCTGAATGACGAAAAAAAAACTAGATAGTTTGATCATTCCCAGCAAACCAATCATTCAATGAGAAACCCAACACAATCTACTCCCCCTGGAGAACGGCACCAAAAAAAAATAGGCCGTGGAAACCGCGATATCTCACAGGAGGACGCTTCCCAAAATCCAAATTTCACCTAAAAATTCCAATAGGGGGGAAAAAGGATAGGGGGTGGGGGGATGAAAGGTACGAACATGGGCGGCGCAGACGAGCTCGTCGAGCTTGGCCGGCGGCGGCTCGTGGCCCCTCCGCTCCTTGGGGTGGTGGTGGCCGAAGCCCCTGAGCCTCTGCAACGGCGACTTCATCCCCTCCGGCGATATGATTGAGCGCTCTTCTCTTGTGTGGTTAATTTCTCCCTCTAATTAATCTCCTGCGTGCGCCCTTGCAACAGACGCTCCCTTGCCCCGATCAATCAATCCCCCTCTGATCTTTCCGTAAGCGTAAGCTAGCCGTGGATTAGGATTTTGGAAAGCGCCCTTGTTGCTGTAGCCCCTTCTTCCTTCCTGATCCTCTGTTGCCTTGGAGCCTCGACTACGGAGGGCTAAAATTAGCTGGCCACTTGGGGCGACGAGGGAGGGAGTTCGGAAGGATTAATCTCTCTTCGCGCTACTTATAATGGAGGAACATGGAGACCCCGCCCCCATATGTAATGTATGCCTGCGCACGGTTGACCATGAGAGTGGAATAATCGCGCGGGAGAGGGACGTGAGCAAAAGCGGCGATTTGGCAAGTTTCGACAAGCTGCTCCGACTTTCACATGGATTGGATTACTGCTCTTATTTGGCAGGGGATGGTCGCCACCGGTTTGTTTAGGATTAGCAATTAATAACTTCCTCCTCTTGGTCAGACAAAAAGAAAACTTGTCTCATGTGATGATGCGCGTGATTCAAAAAGTAATTGACCGTAGAGGGAGAGATGGGCGGGCCGACTTGGTTGCTTGTTAAGGAAATGTTTCAATTCTATGTTCTAAAATTTAGTTTGAGGCTTCAAACAGATGGTCTGAATTGTTGTATAAAGTTTAACTAATTTAAAAAGCACAATTAATTACTCCCTCCGCTCTAAATTATAAATCGTTTTGACTTTTTTTTTTTTTACAAATCTAGATACATAACAAAATAGATGAACCAAAATAGTCAAAGCGACTTATAATTTGGAACGGAAAGAATAGTTCATTAAGCCACACAAGTAAGCTAGAGTGATCAAGTTTAGCTCTTGAATTTAACGTACTAAACTTTATACCATAGGATCTAGACAGGACCTAAGCAAATATCTACTCCCATCGTCCCAAAAAGGATGCCGTTATGGGATTTTGTGCTGATCAAACTTTTTAAGTTCGACTAGATTTGTATCAAATATGAGTAATATTTATATCTCCAAATAAGTTTATTGTAAAAATATATTCAGCGATTCATCTAATGATACTATTATGTACCATATTAATAACTTTTTATATATATATAGTTAAAATTAAAAATATTTAAATTCTCAGAAAATAAGAATGACATCTTTTATAGGACGAAGGGAGTATCTATCATCTATGATACACACTCTCATGCATATGTATGTGTATGGTCTTTTACTCTTTTTATTATCCTCAAGTATTATGGCCCCGTTTGAATCCTTTGGAGATTATGAGAACCCAATAGAAAAAATCATAGAATCATAATATCTTATCCAATCTATCTAGATTTTAGAGGGATTTTAACTTATAGATTTTTGGAATCCCAAAATTCAGTAAAACTGTTGTGATTTTTTTATCCAGATTCTCAGAACCCAATGGGATCAAACGACACCTATATGTTTAGTGTTTAGTTAGGAATGTAAACATATTGTATACAAATGGATACATAGAGATATGAATGCATTTTTTTTAGATTTGGATTCAAATTAATGTATTGGTAGTGTGAGTGGATAAAATATGAACAGATATCGAAATCCACAGTTCCAAGTCCCTGTTCACCACCACCGGCTACGTGGCCACAGGATCTTGCTCATTTTATTTCAACATTTTAACGATTTCTAGATATAAATGCCACTACTTTCAACCATAAGTAAAGATAAAGAGGTTGTTTGGCGGGGGTTCTGCTCCGTGTACCGGAGCCGGAGCCCTTTTGCCAAAGTTCAATATCATGACTCCGCCTGCCGATCAAGAAAACGGTTTCTCTTCAACTTCACACCAGAAACGCTCCTCCTGCAGGGGTGTTTGATCTGGTGACTAAAATTTAGGATGTGTCACGAGAGGATGTCGCATGAAGTGTTCGGATACTAATAAAAAAAACAAATTACAGAATCCGTTAGTACTCTACGAGACGAATTTATTAAGTCCAATTAATCTGTCATTAGCACATGTTTACTATAGCACTACATTACCAAATCATGGACTAGTTAGGCTTTAAAAGATTCGTCTTGTAAATTAGTCACAAGCTATGCAATTAATTTCATAATTAGTCTATATTTAATACTTCATGCATGTGTTAAACATCCGATGGGTATGCAATTAATTTCATAATTAGTTTATATTTAATACTTCATGCACGTGTTAAACATCCGATGAGACAGCACTCAGAGGAGCCGCCTCAGTACAGCTCCACCGCCGGAGTCAAAACCAGAGCCACACCAACACAGGCTGAAAATGCGATACCCTTGACATCGTTAGTGATGGGACAGGACGTCGGCAAACAGTTTCCTCGTTGATTTTAATGTTGGGAACATGCATGACGACGACGGCAAACAGTTGCCCCTGCTTACACGCACTAAGGAATAGATGAGGAGGCCGGCCGGCGCGTCTCTTCAACGTACGTGAGCATGCAGCGCACGAGGTCGGTGTGAGTAGGATACGAATCCCGGACGTTCCGCTCGACCGTACGTCCAAGTCGGACGCGCTGGTTTTGACCGTGGACCGATCCACGGCCCGCCCCGGATTCCTCGGTCAAAAGGTGGCCAGGAGCGCCGCACCACACGCATGCAGGCAGACTGGCAGAGGCAGCGGTTGCGTGCCTACGTAACAGCTGAGCTGAGCTGAGCAGATTCAGCTGGATTTTTCTGGTATTTTTTCCTTGCTCTTTTGCCCTTCTTCACGTGCCTGTACTGTAGGATGTAGGTACTGTCGACTATGGAAGCGGTCGCGTGGAGCTGATCGATCAAAAGGTGTTCCTACTTCCTAGTAGAGATCACGAAATGGAACGGAGATTTGAATTTTGAAAATGGAGCGATGCTCAAGGCCTGGATCTCTCAGGCGGCTCCAATCGTTAGTTGGAGCTTCCACTTCGAGTCTAGCAAGAGAAAGACGGAGAAAAAATAATACTCTGAGATGACCTGTCCACCACCGTTTGTGTTTCTTGTGGTCTATTCCGACGCCCAACTCATCACGTCTCGACGACCAATCGACCGATCGTGTTCTCGCCCAGTCGCCCGAGTGTAGTGTAGAGTGCCCGATGTCGCCACCAGCCGCCGGCCCATCACTCCATCACAATTCACTGTCGACAAATTTTGAAATTTATTCTTTCAATTTTTCAAAGTATCTCGGATGGAGAAACTGTCTAAACCAAAGTATACTCGAAGAGATATGCAACTTTACAGTTGACTACCTTTTTATTTAAAATTATTTTAAACCTAAAAATTCATATTTTATTGAATTAGATTTTTTATATGACATCGGATGGAGAAATAAGCTAAAATAAATTGTAGTAATCGAAGAGATCTCAAACCTTCCAGTTCAGATTTTTTTATTTGAATTCATTTAGATTCTCTAATATGCATTACAATATCCGCTAAGGTGAATATGTATCCAGTCATTTGATTACAAGTAACTTTGAGGTGTAGTGGTAAAAAGGCAGTACGTGAGGCTAGAGCTCCTGAGTTCGAACGACTTGTGACTGGGGTTTGGGGGAGTTAGCTGGTAGGCCTCTATCAGGTTTAAAAATTTGCTAGTTTTTAGCTTGATTTGCATATTATGTAAAGCGATTTCTAGAGGCCATTGGAATTTGGTCCGTCTCTAAAAATCGTTTTCTAGAGGCGGAACGAATCCTAGCCACCTCTAGCGATTTCTAGAGGTGTCTCGGTACCTGCCTCTGCCGCCTCTACAAAGTTGCATCCAACCAGGGGCGGAGCTTAGTGGTGGCCAAAGCACCCCCCTCCCCCCTCCCCCCGCCCCCCCACCCACCCCATGCGAAGTTTTTCAGTACATGTATGTTACTTTACCAATGCATCTGCATGTCACCATGCATGCAAGGATTAAAGCACACATTTCTCTCTCCACGCTAGTTGCATATTTCTGGTCTTAGCAATTCTGAAGCTTTTTTCTTAATACACTTTGACTATATGTTTATGTAAATTGCCCCTGGTTCTACTTCACCCTCGCCACTGCATCCAACCACCTCTAAAAAGCTTATATGTAATAGTAACATGTGAGATTTTCTTAGAAGGTCAGCAACCCAGCAAGGCACAACACACCTATATTTATTCAATGGGAGACACTGCCCCCGATAACGAAACATATGTGATGACTTTAGCCATCACAAGATGAAGATGGATTAAAGTTCGCCCAAGCAAATGGAAAAAGAGGTGGTTGAATTGCAAATTGTCAATCTTATAAAGGTGAATGACGATATATATATATATATATATATATATATATATATATATATATATATATATATATATATATATATATATATATATATATATATATATATATATATATATATATATATATATATATATATATATATTGACATGGCCACATATTATATATCATTAAGCGCTCGGATGCTTCGATCAAGAGGACATTATTTTGTGTGTCTGCGGATATTTTTGCTATGTCAACATTAACTAATACAACATTACCGGAGCACACTATTATTGCTCACCTAACAGCATCATTTCCATGCCACATAAATATTTTTTTTCAAAGAAAAAGGAATAAGTTCCCTGGCCAACATCTGGTTAGTCTAAGTCAACTTCGACGGCCGACGAGCAATTGGAAATGCCGGGATCACTCGACAATCCGGTATATATTGATTTGTTTCGAATCTTTCGTCCATAATGACGCATTGGCACACCAAGGCTGGCCATGGCAGCTACCAGCTACCAGCTACCAGCTACTGCAGTATCATCTACTAGGAGTCGTGTATAGATTAGATGGCAGTGGCAGTCAAGCATTGGAGTTCTGCGTCGTCTCCAGCACTACATGCTGAGTCGCTGACAGTGCATGCCACGATACTGTCAGCTGCACGCTGTGCAGACTGCGGACCCTATCCTATCCACGGCCACAACAGGCTGGGGCCGTGGGGGGCGCCCCAGGCCCATCGCTTGTCCACATCCCATGCAATCCATACTGCGGTAACTTATTAAGATCAGGCTGTTAACTACTGTAGCACAAGGTAGGAAAACAAAACAGCGTTAACCAAAGTTACTGCAGTGATGGTCCTGCAATTCTGTAACCCATCTCTTTTCTTCCCTTGTTGATTACACATTTACACATGTAGGTTCAATAACGCACTGTTAACAGCAGCACATTTATTCTGACCCAAAAGAAGAAAAAAAAAACAATTCTAAGGTAGAGAGTAGAGACTAGAGCGCAACGGCAGTTCAGCTACAGGATATACATCATGCAACATGCCAGTAGCATCTTTTATATACAATACAGACTACACAAGAGCAACGGACACTCTCACTTTGAAGGCTTGTACGACGATATCAAACGGTGCATATGTGCGCTACGCAGGCACGGCGAAGCTCGGCTCGGACCACCGGGCCGCATCCACGACGAGGCACGGGTCGGACTTCCTGAACTCACCCACCTGCAGAGTTTCATCACAAAGATGATAGATGAAAAAACCATGGAAGCCTAAGCTCGAGAGAACAGAGCGTGTGAACGAGAAGCCCAACCTTTTCGCCACAGCTGGGGCAGTAATGGTACTTGTGCCAGAGGCAGTCCATCGAAGGGCATAGGAAGCAGACCCCCAGCATGAAGGGCATCATGCAAGCCACAACGGATGCAAGGCTTGGCTTTGACCTGTTCAAAGGAACAAGTGGATTCATTTTTCATTTTAGCTGTGATGAAGCCTCTGCATGTCTTGCTGGACGCCAGTACCCAAAATGAAAATGGTTGACAGAAAATTATGCATGAACATAAGGGCTCAGATTTAGCCAGAGCATATCACTTTCCATCTAACGATCAGGGCAAGAGGAGGATTTCAGCAAAAATGTGGTATTGTAGCCACACCCTTTTTTTTCTCTCAAGCTCGCAAAAGATTCCAGAACGATGATATACGTGATAGATTAGGGGTAGCACCAATTGAAGAAAAGCTTGTCCAACACCGGTTGAGATGGTTTGGACATGTCCAACGGAGACCTCCAGAGGCACCGGTGCGTAGTGGAATCCTAAACCAGGATAGTAACGTGAAGAGAGGCAGAGGAAGACCGAAGTTGACTTGGGTAGAGGCAATAAAAGGAGACTTGAAATGATGGAATATACCCAAAGACTTAGCCTTAGATAGGAGTGCTTGGAAAACAGTTATTCACGTGCCTGGACCTTGATTGCTTCTGCTGGGTTTCAACTCTAGCCTACCCCAACTTGTTTGGGACTTAAAGGCTTTGTTGTTGTAAGCTCGCAAAAGATTTGCATATCATTTCATTAAAAAAGGCAGGAGACAAAATACAGGGGTGAAAGAAGTCACAATCTGAAACTAGAAGCGGGCAGCCACAAACAAAAACAAAAAAAAGGCGGCCAGATTCTAGTCAAATCTAAAACAGCTTAATGCCACCTTCACGTATTCTGGAGTTTGGACCAGATCTTTCAATTAACTTGTGCCTCCATACAAAACTTAAAGTAGTCTCCAGAATATTCTCGGCAACCGAAATATATCGAATAGAAAAACTCAATTGACCCCCGCGCAACTGCTAGATGATGGTTGGAAAGTTGACTACCAAACTACCAAATGCTCCCTCCCCATTCAAAGCAAAGGTAACTGAGACCAAGCAAAGTAAATTATACATGTACCATGAGCATCATAGCAAGTGGACCCAAGGGGGTGACGACGTAGATATTCAAGCTTTGCAGAACCATGAACAAAGAAAACCAGTAAAGTATCTATCACGTATGCTATATATGTCTGCTCCAATATAGAACCTATACCTGACAATGGTCCTACTAACAATAGTGTGTCAAGTACTGGCTAGGCTTAGGTTGATATCATGTATTCATATGTGCAGAATGGATTTTGTTGCCATATATAGTAGCAAGGGGACACAAGGCTCCTCGATCATACCATCGTAGGTTTGTATGGTCCAACCCGCCTTGCAAGTGGGGGGGGGGGGGGGGGGGGGTTCCTAACATCTAGCTTGACCACAAGTTCTGATATGTACTATTCATATGATCAAACTTTTCCTGACACATTGTGGACCTTCTAGTGCATGGCGAGAGATCCATATGGCAATCAAGGTATCTTCCATTAGATGGCAAAGTGCCCCTTGAGGTACTTCAACTCTGTTTTTTTTAAGGCTAGGAAGTCGAAAATCTGTTTATGGCACCTCTAGTCCATGGTTACTCCTGTGGCTGTCCATAATGTGCCAATGTGGTAAAGACACTAAAATTGATATGCTAAAAAAACGATTTCAAACAATATGATCCAAAGTAACAGAATATCCTTTGCCTTTTCCATATAAGTCAGGGACCATCAAGTAAAGCAAAGCAAAGCAAAGGATACACTTGATTCTAGCAAGGGGGAATGAGGGGCGAGAGAAATAAGATGATACAGATGTTTGTCATGACCTATAGTGGTGAGGGGAGCAGGCCTCTAATTCATCGGTTTGACTGGTCCAATGTAACAAGGTATGGTCTCCTCACTTTTAGCTTCCAGCATGCGATCCAGCCCTGGCTGATACACAGCAGATCTCCTGATGGAATTTCTTATCCAGTGCTCCTTAAGGTACTCCAACTGAGTCCATTTGGGAGTAATGAGGTATGGTGTCAATATGAAGTCAAGAAGTCTTGGTAGCACCATAAATCTTGAGTGCTCCTGCGGCTATTCCATACGTGGTAAAGCTGTTAAAAACGAGCTGTTAAACAAAGTTGAGAGTAACAGATTACTCTTTGGCCACACTTTAGCTTGTTTATAGAGGTCAGGGACCATGAAGCTGCAAAGCAAAGGAGCCACTTGATCATAGCAAGGGGACCTGAGGGGTAAGAGGAACTAAATGATCTGGATCTGGATGCCTGTCTCCATCTGTAGCAGGGAAGGGTCCAGGCCTTCACACTCATAAGTTTCGATGGTTCAACAAGCAAGGTATGGTCTTCTTGCTTTAGCGTACAACATACGATCTGGTATTGGCTGACGCGTAGCGGACATCCTGATGTATTGGAGGCGTCCTTCAGGAAGAGATCCTGATTGTCATCACAGTGCCTTCAGATAGATGGAAGAAGGCCCTTCTCTGGTGCCACTCCAGCTTGGTTTGTTTAAGGCGAGAGCCATATGGTGCCACTACCAGTAGAAACTGATATCAAGAGTTTCTCTCTTCATCTCATACTCACAATTGAACAACATTGCGAAGTTTGCAAGAAACAATTAGTCCAATTCCTACGAATCACAGTAAAGTAGACCATGGACAATAAAACAATGAACACGATCTCTTTACCAACCAAGCCAAACATTCAAAGACACCAAGAAGAGCAAGAACCTACAGCACACCAAAGTGAGCAGCACTAAAGCTTGTCCTGATTGGACAAATTAGATTTCCAAATTAATAAGTAACCGTCTCATCTGGACCTATCCATATTCCATGGCCAAAGCATTTCGATGTTCCAGGCTTGAACTCTTCTCCTACGAACCCCGAACAATAAGATGCGACCAACCACATAGGTGCTGGGGGAGCGACGAGAAGGATGGGTGGGAGGAGGGACACGGGCTTACCGGACGGAGGAGACGGCGGCCTCACCGCAGGCCTGGCAGTGGAAGGGCGCGGGCGTGTCGCGGAACATGGTCTGCTGGAGCGCCACCCCCTTGGGCGCGCCGGCGTAGATCGCGTTGGGCGGCGGCATCCCCGCCGCGTAGGGGTTCGGCGGCGGCGAGTAGTAGTAGTGCCCCTGGGCCACCGGCGCCGGGTGGTAGGGGATCCCGATGGCGGGCTCGCCGCCGGTGGCCGCGGGGTCCTTGGTCGCCATGGTCTTCGTCGGCGGGCCGGTGCGCTGGTCTGGATCGGTGCGTTTGGATTTGGCGAACGGTTGAATCGTTCTGTCAGCGGTAGGCCGGCAGCCCGTTCAACTTGAAACGGCGACCTATATTCAGGCCTGCTCCGTGTATTGAAAAAGTCTTCAACTCGTTTTGTACCAGAAAAAAAGGCACTATTTTTCTAGAACTAAAGGCACTTCAAGAAAATCGTTCTCCTTGTAATACAACTCTTCTAGAAAATCATTTTATTTGGTTGGATTGAAGTTCTGCTAGAAAATCAGTTGTACGAAGAAATCGATTCTATCTCATTTTATCAGGTTTACACATTACAATTAGGAACTATATCACACTCTTATTTTCATGAATATGAGAAACTTTATATTGTTGCTCTATCATGCTCAATGTATGCCACTGGACCCTTGGGAAATATTGAAAAACACTTGGAAAATGTAGAAACACATATTGGTTTAGCTTGGGCCAAGTCCATTTCTGATTCCGCCCCTCTACGGGGTGATGGGTCCAGTACTCCTGTATTTTAATTCTGCGTGGAATTATTCAATTCATTTCTGAATCTACAAGACTTGTTGCAGAAACCCTAACATACAAAATATGATCGAAACTTTTCCTTTTATAAAAGACACTACAATAATCCTGAATCACCTTGAGTGCCCAAAACTGCCAAGGTTATAAAAGACACTACAATAATCCTGAATCACCTTGAGTGCCCAAAACTGCCAAGAAAAGAGCCTGAACCGTCAAAGAAATGATCATTGGCCACGAACCATCAAGCAAACTCCGTCAATGATAGAAGACAAGAGAAATTAGTTTTCTTGGCGGTTTTGACACTAAGGATGATTTCCTTGGAGGCTAGCCACCAAGAAAACTTGGACTACACTTAATTTGCCAAAGAGAGACCAGAAAATATTGCAACCCTCAAGTAAATTAGTTTTCTTAAGGGCTAACAACCCTCAAACAAATATTCCTAACAGTCGAGAAAATTAGTTTCCTTGAAGGCCAACAACCTCAAAGGAAATATAGAGCAACAAAAAAAATGGAAATATAGAGCAACATAAAAAAAACATAATTTAATGAACAAAAAACTAGAAATATAGAGCAACAGCAAAAAAAAACATAATTTAATGAACATTGCATCCCTCGGGATTTGAATGAACCCACGACCTATATTGCTTCAAATGAAAAATACCTAGCACTACACCTCAAAGGAGCTTGCGGCTACATAATTTTTTTTCTTTTGTATTCATTTTTGTTGAATCTTGTAATGAATATTTGAGATCCAAAATGATTTCAAATGTAAAAGGTTTGAACTACAAAGTTTTAGATCTGGTCAAATACTATAACTTTGGTTTAGGTCATATCTCCATCCAAGGTCATTTGCTTCAAATGAAAAGCACTTACCACTACACCTTAAAGGAACTTGTGGCTAAATAGATTATTTTTTTCTTTTGTAACTTTGTTGAATCTTGTAATGAATATTTGAGATCCTAAACGATTTCAAATGTAAAAAAGTTTAAACTAGAAAGTTTTAGATCTCGTCAAATACTATAACTTTGGTTTAGGTCATATCTCCATCCAAGGTCATTTGGAAAATTCAAAAAATTGAATTTTAAAGCTATGAGAATTTTCTTGGGGGTTTCAAATTACACCCAAGAAAATATGAATTACCTTGGTGGTTTCGAATAGCACTCAAGGAAATACGAATTACCTTGGTGATTTCGAATAACATCTAAGAAAATGAGCAATTACCTTGACAGATTGTAATACTCCCTCCGTCCTAATATATAAGGCGTAATCACTTTTTAATCTAGTCCCATAATATAAGATGCGCTTTCTCTAGACGCACGTACATCGATACGGTACTATTAGTGTTGAGAGAGAATTGAATATGTTTCTTGGTCTTTGAACCAGATGTGGTTATGCCTTATATACTGGGATGGAGAGAGTAACACTCAAGGAAACATAGAATTACCTTGGCGGCTTTGGTTTAGCACTCAAGAATATCCATTGCCTTGGAGGTCTATGTCCGCAGCCAAGGAAACTACACTTTTCTTGGCGGTTTTGTTTTGGTCCTCAAAGAAATCTTTAGCACTTAAGGTAATTCAGGATTGTGGCAGTGAGATAATAAGAAAAAAAATGTAGACATGATTTGATCACCTTTTTCAACCACCGACACTATTAGATGTCTAGCGTGCGGAATTTATAGCTCGATGGTAAAAAAGTTAAGACAGAAATTTTAACAAAAACAATTCATCTAAATGCTCTCAGCATTCCTTCATCAGTTTGCAATCTAATAACTTTTTAATGAATGGTAATATGTCAAGCCATTTTTTGTCATAAGATTGGGAAACACACATACATATTATCTTTGAAATTTTTATGAATGGTAATAGTTCACATATTTATCTTTAGTTTATCTATTGCTGTGTGTTGTGCCTGCATTACATTGCGAAATAAATAAAAAGGTCTCTAAATGCTAAAAGATGGATTTATTGCACAAAAAATGAGACAACTCTAGAACTGCCATTTCGATTATATCTTGGGGAAGTTCTATGACTAATTATTTCGATAACTGTACCCTCTCTTCATCTCAGTTTTAAACTTTTGATCTATCTTTTTTCATCACACAGTACAAAAGGGAGAAAGATAACTAGGGATGAGTTCTTTCTCATGTTTTCTTGCAGGGGACACCGTCGACATTTTGGCACAGCTGTGAGGCCAATTATTTACCTCTCCATGTTCTACTGCTTCAATAGTACAAGGTCAACAATGGTTGATAGCTATTGTGCTATTAGCACTTGTGTGCCGCGTGACTGGGGTTGGTACTTTGAGTTTTATTTATTCCCAAGTTAGCACTTCACTAGATCTTTATATGTTACAACCTTTTAATTTAAAAATTTGTTTGCATATATTGCTTGGGGCATACTGTAATTGTGTGCCGCGGGAGGGGCAGGCCGTGTGTTGGTATTCGTTAGCATCACCACTTGGAATGACATTAGGAATACTTTTGGTATTTAAATGTGACTTAGTAATATATGAAATTCTGCAAGCGCACAGATGATATACCATTGTAGCACTTCATCCGGGACTATTCCAGGTATCGTTATATTTTTTACCTCAGGGAAGGACTGATAAATGAATATTGATAACTTATACTTATGATGGATGAATGAGCCAAACACTTACTCTAAATAGGGGTAAATCAAGAGATAGGATAATATATATAATAATAAATGCAACACTCAAAGTACTCCTTAAGATAGCAATAGTAAGTCTAAGTAGATACAAGAGAGATTAATTCCTAAGTTATTCTAGTCACAAGTCAAAGCATACATTGATGTGCATATATACTTAGCAATGATTTAAGTTTACTTTATATCTACGCATAAGGGACATTACTAAGGAAGATCAAGAACAAAGCCTGACTTCCTTTGCAACCGGGTCCTACTTGTCCTACAAACGGGAGGTGGATTACAAAGGACTCAACGAGGCTATCACCCTCGCAATCTACCACACGATCCGGAATGTAGGGTGCATCCGCAGGTAAACAACATATAAGCACCACGCTTACACAATGTCGACCACTCACCCCGTTCGAACATAAGAGTGGGCGCTTTGCAATCCTATGCATAAACATAATAATGATTCTACTAAGCATATAATCAAAGTAAACCATGAACATGCATGATAACTAAGAACATGAATATTATGAAGAACATTGTCATAGCAAATGTATGAATGATAAATGATACAAGAAGGCTATACCAAGCCAAACTCTTGATAGGATCAAGAATCCAAGCGGGAAGCTTGACTCTCTCTAGATCTAACTTAGCTAGCTATGCCTATGAATATTTGTGGAGCTCTGAGGTTGTAGTCTCTCTTGATCAGATGATCAACTCTGATGGAGGATTTATGCCTTCCAGGAGGAGGTAGGGGGTCCTTTTATAGGGGGCACCAGGAGTCCTACGAGCCCATGAATCCATGGCAACTCCTCATCTGAACCCTCGGTATGAACCGACCTTGAACAACGACGTAGATTGAACCTTGGAGGCGGTGGAGAGCTGACGTAGGAAGCAGAGGCTGACTGATGAGGCCCATAGGCCGACTGGCCTACAGGTGGGGCTGGGCAGCCCCACCCAGTGTCCTCGGGTCGGGTCGTGGTGATTTGCCTTCTACGGTGATTTGGGGGTCCTCTAAGTCGGTTTTTGTCGCGGATGATCATAATTTGCTCTGACGATTGGGTCCACTTTGCCTATTTCCTGAATAAATCCTCCTGAAAACACAAATTCACCAAACCTTGTGGAATTTGTTAGTTTAAACCCCCTAGAACTATGTTGGTGATCATATTCATGCATTTATATAAGTTATATTGATGGTTTATGATGAGTGTTAACTACCATCAACACCGTGCCAGGTGGGGCACGGGAGGTGCCGGCCGCGTCGGGCTGGCTGCGCGAGGGAGCTCCTGGTGCAGCGACGGGTTGGCCACGCCGGACCAACCCCGGCCGCACGCACTGGACCAGAAAGGCAGTGGCGCCTCCCCCACGCGTCGCTCACCGACCAAGGATGGGAGGGGGCCGAACGGCCGTGGATCCAGCGGCGCCGTCCTCCATTGCAGCGCCTGGCTCGCTCGCTGCTCTCTTTTTTCACCCGTGCTCCTGCCACATGCAGTAGAAACAGAGGAAGGGGAACACAGTAAGCAGTAAGGGCATTTTAGTCATTTCACTTGTCCTACTGTTGGGAAACGGACAACTGCCCTAACAGACTGGACGGAAGGTCATATAGGGAAGGAATTTTATTTTCGGGCCTTGTAGATAAGTTCAAAAAGAGCCCATAGAAGGAAGACATTTTTTTTGAAGGACATACCGGTAAATATCTCTATTTCAATAGATTTACTAGCAGAATCAATTCGTTTTCTAATTTTGATTGTTTAATTGCATAAGTCGGTACATTTCCTCAAAAGTTGGAATGGGAACTT